GACGACAATATCGCATAAAAAAAATTACCGAGCAAAAGCGCTTAAAATTCACCTTAAGTGAATAAATACAATCAGCGGTCCAAAAAAGTGTATCAGCTTTTGTCCTGACATTTAATTCATGAGACAAAAGTCGACTTGCGCTAATGATTCATCTGAGTTCAGAAATCGTAAACAGTTAAGGCGTGAGATTTTTGGCCTTATTCTTTCCCTCTTTCTCCCGTACTCATCTCCCCGGTATTGTCCGTTCATAAATCTTTAGCAGTATTTCCAGTTGCCCAACTGGTATTCTCAATGGCCTACCAGACAGTAAGAATTAGTGTGCACGTTGCAACTAACCAAAACTTGTCCAAACACAGTTTTAGCAGCAACAATAACAAAATGCCTTGTTTGTCCTTCCGAATAAACATTCTGTGTTAGCTTTTCGAGGAACAAAGAAAATTTTTTTATCTTCATTTTAAAAAAAAAGAAGCAGAGAAAAAGCGAAACTCGAAGACGTGATTAAAAGGGAGAAGCGGTCGGTTGAGGGATTCAAAACCAATAACGGTACCAAAGCAAGATCTCACTACCATCAATAAATTTCGTCATCATCACCATCACCAAACATCGTCATCGTCATCACCAATAGCATCAGCAATGGTATCAACGTCAGTCCCAGCATTACCTCATAAACCGTCGTCATCACCACAGTTTTAAACACATTGTGCCTCATAAACCTTAAATTGTGTTTCCGGATCTGCTTCTTATCTTTTTTTTGCGCAATTTTAGCTTTTTTCTTTTTCGCATTTATAATTCAGCCTTAAGTATTTGAGGTAGAAAAAACTTTCTTTTTTCTGCTTTATTGTCAAGCTAAATATGTTGAAGCATGAAATCCAGTTTTTTTCATCTTTTCACTCACTTTTTTAGATTGTTTTTCCCTACAATTTTCCACTGACATCATTCAGTAATTAATACGGGCAAGTTTCTTTTTATTTTATTAAGGCTCTGAATCCTTTTTTTGCAGTCCAGTTTACTTTCAAACAATTTTCCTATCACATATTGGAAAAAAACTGAAGAGAAAAATTTTGTTTTCTCTGGTTTTTCCATTTTTTTCTTATTGGAAGCATTGTTCAATGTAGCCTTCTTCAAAAAAGACTAACACAAAAGCAAAAATAGGGTAGAATAATAATAATAATAATAATAATAATAATAATAATAATATAATAATAATAATAATAATAATAATAATAATAATAATAAGACAATAATAATAAATTAATTTTGAGATTTTTCGGAATCAGTAATAATAATAATAATAATAATAATAATAATAATAATAAGAACTTTTGACAGATACAAAGTCCACAAAAATAAAAGATGTCATTGGTGAGAAAAGTAGGAAACATTTTTTTCCAGATGATTAGACTCAGCCGAATTCAACACAACAATCTCTTCCACTCAGATAACAGCTACAGGTTAGCGAACAGAGCTTCAACAAATTTAGACGCGCAGTTGTTGTTGCCCGGCAATGCTTTTCGAAGTTTGAAACATTCCAACACCTTACCGCTACTCCCTCTCTGAGCCTAATATTATTGCTTTGTTATATATAACTTTCATATAACTTTCTTTGCTCGAAAAAAGTGATGATTAAAACATCAACAACAACAACAAAAAATTCTTTTTTTCAAACTCACAAACAGCTGATTGATTGGGTAATCGACACAGTTCCGAAAACCACACAAATATGCGACAAAAAGACGCTCAGACACACACAAACAGATGGATACAGAATTAAGATTCAAACGAGCAACCCCCTTTCCAGGTTATTTTTTGTCGATAATACATGAAGCTTGAACTGACCTCACTTAGTTAGTTTACAATTAAAAAATGTTGATACGAAAATTCGAAAAATGATGTTGTTTGTTTATCTTTCTGCATGTTATTACTTTTGTCTTATTTTGCTGTTTATAACAAGGTATCAAAGTATAAGAATAAGGGGAGTTTTTTTTGTAGAAGTATAGAAAAACTTTGTAAAAAACAGCAGGTTGAAGTTAAAGTGCCGCAATAATTGACACACACTTTTTAAATATCAAAATAGCCTAGCAACTCCTTTCCCAAGTTATTTTTGTCGGTAATACATGAGTCAAAAATACTCAGTAACTTTAAAACTTGGAAAAAAGGGATTTACGACACCATTCTTGAATTAAGAAACTTCAATCCAAAGGAACCCAGTCTAGCCTACCTTGCCGACTGTCAATCACCGAACTTGTTCACCAAATAACTTTATATCACGCAAAGCTAACAAAGCGTCAAGCAACGATATTTGGCGAACTATATGACGCTTTATAAGACTGAACATATTTTAGAACTTATCAGAGTCACATCTCTCCATTTCCTTCTTTTATGTTCACAAAAACTGTTGGAGAAATGAAAAAAATAGGACTACAGAAAAGTAAGAAAAGTTACAGGAATGAAAAAAGCAAGAAGACTCAACACTTCAGTGGTGCACTGTTGTTCCCAAATTCAGAAGTCTCTTTAATTTTGTAAAAACTTCTGATATTGCTAAAAAAAAGCAAGAAAAAAACGGTTTCTATTTTAATGTCAAAAAAAAAAATACAGAAGAAAACGTTGACGATACTTCTGCGGTACATCAGCTCCAAATCAAATCACTCTAGTATACTTTTAATTACTTTTATTATTATCATAATGATTTCTTTTGAATTCCTTTTTAGCAGTTTACCACTGAAGCTAAACGATTTATACTCGACAAATACGTCTTGAAAACGGAAACCAAATAAAATAGCTAACAAAAAAAAGAGTAACTAAATGTATCAATAAAAATATGTTGTCGACGTCCCTTCAAGTAATTCTTGTTGTTTTTCCAGTAGTCTATAAGGAAGAAAGAGATGACGACGCTGTCAAATAGAATAAGAATAAGAAAAAAGAATAAGAAATATTAGAAATTTCTTAGTAGTACACGTTACTGATACCAATTCTAAACTGCTTATCACGGATTTATCTGCTGCTTTTGTTCTTGCTGACGATGCTCCTGCATTTAAACAACAAAATAATAATCAACAACAGATTTAGTTTTATACACAAATAACTTCCACATCTTCCAATGCTTTTCAAAAGGGGTGAGGAAGTAGGGAAAAAATGTTCAATTGTTTAACATTTTAAACTTATAAAATACTTTAAAAAATAGTGGTTAATCGATAAGAGCACCATTACCTACAGTATTAAGGTGTTTGGTAAAGTTCTTTTTTTTGCAATTCCAATTTGTCAGTTAAGTCAATGCATAGATTTCTAATGTTTCATGCAAATTAAAAGGTATCTGTGAAATTCTGAGCAGTAATAAAAAAAAATACAAATAGGCAATAAAAACAATTAACAACGAAGATCAAACATATAAAAAATTCAATTTTTTTTCCTGCTCTTTTCCTCTGCTTCAACGTCATTTCTATAAGCTTAATTTACCAAATACTGATATTATTAGACAAATAATTGCTACAAAAACTTTTAGTAAAATATTATTTGTGACAATAATTTTTAGTTGCATTGAAATCAACAAATATAATTTTGATGCTTATTTGATAGAATTAAACAAAACACCGCAGAAGAGACCAATAATTGCTCCTTTCCTTTTTTTTTTTTTTTGTTTCCCAATATTAACAGAATAAAATACGTTTCTTTGACAGCAAAAATTGAGTGATTCAACATTGCAGAAGGATAACAAAACTTGATAACTTCTCTCAGATAAACAGCATTTACTCAATAGGATTTTACTCATAGTGCAAGGAAAAAAACATTCATTTAGGTTTGTTTAAAATTTTTTCATAAGATTTCCGAAAAACAACAACAACCACAACAAAAAATACTGGGAAAAAAGCGAAGATCCGAACGGTAGTACCTACATAAAAAAAAAAAAAAAAAAAA